TTCCCAGTGCGCACCATGATTGTGTTTTTGTGCAGCAAATAGGTGATGCCAAGATGTCAATCAACCGGCCCTTTATCAAAACACCTTTTCACTTTCTATGTCGCTGTCAATCAAAGCCCACATGTCAAAGACAGCTTTTCACTTCCTATGTCGCTGTCAATCAAAGCCCGCATGTCAAAGACACCTTTTCACTTCCTATGTCGCTGTCAATCAAAGCCCACGTCACCTTTTCATTGTCCTATGTCGCTGTCAATCAAAGCCCGCATGTCAAAGACACCTTTTCATTTCCTATGTCGCTGTCAATCAAAGCCCGCATGTCAAAGACACCTTTTCACTTCCTATGTCGCTGTCAATCAAAGCCCACATGTCAAAGACACCTTTTCACTTCCTATGTCGCTGTCAATCAAAGCCCGCATGTCAAAGACACCTTTTCACTTCCTATGTCGCTGTCAATCAAAGCCCACATGTCAAAGACACCTTTTCACTTCCTATGTCGCTGTCAATCAAAGCCCACGTCAAAGACACCTTTTCACTTCCTATGTCGCTGTCAATCAAAGCCCGCATGTCAAAGACACCTTTTCACTTCCTATGTCGCTGTCAATCAAAGCCCACATGTCAAAGACACCTTTTCACTTCCTATGTCGCTGTCAATCAAAGCCCACATGTCAAAGACACCTTTTTCACTTCCTATGGCAGCAGCATAGCACATATCTGCTGGGCAGTAGGCAAATGTCAATGACCACAAGCAGCAGTTTGAGAAGATGAGGGCTTGGCTTCTGACAAAAAGTTGAAATTTGTACTGTATAGCATAGGTTGCGAATCAGGTTGTGTGAAATAGAGGATTAAGTCAATTACAAAAGTATAACTATCATTTGTTTACAGGCCTGTAAAATAGAATGTTATACTTTAAAATATCTAATACATTTTTACATACCAAAATTACAGTACTCCCTACTAGGTTAGAAATGAGGCTACTGGACAACCTCCTAAAGTTATTGGAAGTGATTTTATTGTTGTGCTTATCCCTTATAGTGATAGAACAACATCCTACCAATCCTTCCAAACACCAGGTCCAAATCTACAAAGAGTTCAGAAAGGTGATTTTCTCTTATTCACCGATTGATGTCTGAAGACTTGCACATCCTAACAAAAGGCAATACACTTTCTATGGATTTGTCCACAAAATGTACTCAAGATTAAATTATTTTTTAGCTTTATCCCCCATGGTTAACCCTGTCTGGACTGCAGTCATAAAACCTGTAACACTGTCAGACCAGACACCAGTTTTATTAGACCTATCATTGTTCGGGGTTAGGAATAGACAATACCACTGGACACAAAATTAATATTTACTGAAACATCCACTTATGCAAGCAGTCAGTGGCTGCTTTAAAATTTTTTAGACTTAATAATGTTTCGGTTGGCTATCACAAAAGCATTTAGTAAGAGACATTGTATTTCCTCCACTTCCTTTCTTAAAACATAAGATAGCGAAAGACACATTGCTTAGAAAACTGCATGAATCTGAAGCACAACTCACTACAATTGGTAAACTCAGGAAAGTCGTAGGACTAGAGAACCAACTTAAAACTCTTGGTCTTTAAAAACTGGATCTTAAAGGAAATACTATGAATACTTCAACAAAGCGCATACAATGTTAGCTAACAAACTATGGGCTACTACATCCCTCACCACTCCTTAGCAACTCTTTAAATCAGAAATAAACTCATCAAATAAACTTTATACTACATGGAAAGTCCCATTTCCCAGTACAAAAAAAAGCACATGAGCAGCCGGTGCAGCAGTACTGGAAACCTTCAATGTGGAATCCACTCTTCCCTCTGCCAAGTTGACATCACAAGCTTTACAGTTACCGATGCCGAGTTTACTTCCGCTTTAAGACCTGATGTTACCCCCACCTACGACCCTATGGAAATACCACAAAATGTTTGACTCCTACTACAAAAACCTATATAGCTGCCTCATCCAACGTAACGTACCCTACCTGCATAGCTGGCTTTTCAACTGTTTATATCTGACATACCTCTTAAAAAAAACTTTCAATGGAAGACACAATTGAATTAAACAAAGTTATTACACCTGAATAAGTCATAGATGTTAATAAACACCTCTCCCCTGCACAATTCGCCAGGATCTTATAGCCCGCCTTATTAATTAGACTGTTGTGCTTCAGTCTGGATCAGATATAAAGTTTGCACTCTTACATCACTGTACCTTCTAGACCAGGCAAGGATCTCACTCTGTCTACCAACTACCAACCTAGTGCCCTCATAAAACATGACAACTAGAATTTGTATACACACGACAAGCCAGAGAAAACACTAGGAAAACTATAACCATATTAGATTTAGTAAGTAAGTCTAATAACCAGACTTCATTCCTAAATCTAGGTATACAAAAAGCCTTCATCAGGCTGAGCTGGGTTTTACAGGCCCTATTCTTTCAGCATTGCATTCCCTTTTTTCCCCAAAGCTGGCCATAGACGAATAAAAATTTAGCCGTTCACCAGGGACCAGCCAGCTTTTCATTCATGTGTGGCCATTCCTGCTCGATGAGCTTGATGGGAAATATTTCTAAAACAGCAAATTTAGCTGCTGATTAGTATATTCTGACAACAAAGATTCCCAGTGTCAGAATACAATGTCTTAGCGGGGAGGATTCCTCTATCCACCTCAATTTGTGTGGATGGAGTAATCTGTTTTTTTTTTTGTATTCAGCCCACTGGGTGAACTATAAACAAAAGATCCATTTCCAACCTAATCAAGCATCCCAGGTAAAGCTATCTCAAACAGCCTTAAAGACTTTACCCATAAGCAATGACAACCACCAGGGTTACCTAATATCCTCTTTGCTTTTTGTGCTGTGTATAAAACTCCTGGAGGAGGCTATTAGGACTGCAGATGACATCCAGTACAGGGGTGAAAATGAAATCCCATGAATACAAACAGTATACTCCTGCCCTGACCTACTTAAACAGTTCACTACTTAATCTACATAACATTCTAAAAAGCTGTGGACCAATATTGGAGACAAAGGCATTCTCATATTTATCCTTGAAGCTCAAATTAGGTCAACTCAGGAATACATACATATGGTGCCTCCATGCTCTAAGACAGGTGTCTCCAAACTTTCTAAACAAAGGGCCAGTTTACTGTCCTTCATACTTTAGGGGGACCAGACTGTGGCCAGCGGGAGTAGAAAAAGTCCTGGTGTCAGTGGCAGTAAAAAATGCCCCATGACTGGTGTCAGCGGGAGGAATAGTGCCCCATCATTGGTATCCGCGGGAGGAATAGTGCCCCATCATTGGTGTCAGCGGGAAGAATAGTGCCCCATCATTGGTGTCAGCGGGAGGAATAGTGCCCCATCATTGGTGTCAGCTGGAGGAATAGTGCCCCATCATTGGTGTCAGCTGGAGGAAGTGCCCCATCATTGGTGTCAGCTGAAAGAATAGTGCCCCATCATTGATGTCAACGGTAGGCATAGTACCCCATCATTGGTATCAGCGGGAGGAATAGTGTCCCATCATTGGTGTCAGCGGGAAGAATAGTGCCCCATCATTGGTGTCATTGGGAGGAATAGTGTCCCATCATTGGTATCAGTGGGAGGAATAGTGCCCCATCATTGGTATCAGTGGGAGGAATAGTGCCCCATCATTGGTATCAGTGGGAGGAATAGTTCCCCATCATTGGTATGAGTGGGAGGAATAGTGCCCCATCATTGGTATGAGTGGGAGGAATAGTGCCCCATCATTGATGTCAGTGGGAGGAATAGTGCCCCATTGTTGGTGTCAGTGGCAGGAACTATGCCCCACAGGCCAGATAAAATAAAGCAAAGGGCCGCATCTGGCCCTCGGGCAGCAGTTTGGAGCCCACTGCTCTAAAATATCTGGAAATGAGACTTACCCATCTCTCTATGCCGCTAAATTCATCCATGATTTTCTGAAATTAGAAAGCTTTTGAGGAAGTGGAGCAAACATGAGATCTATTTTTTTGGATATATTGCCAGTGAAGCCATGACAGCTTTACCCAAAATTCTATATTTATTTGAGACCCTGCCAATATCAATTCCTATGTCAAAACTCTGCAGAAAGATATCAATAAATTCATCTGGGACTACAGACTGCATAAAACTTCTAGGTCAGTCATACAAACCAGAAAATCTCAGGGTGGTCTTGGAGTACTAGATTTGATAAAATATTATCATCGTAACAAATAGAAGCAAAACAACTGTTGTCCTTGCCTACTCATCTCTGCTGCTATATACGAACACCTGAAGACCAAAAACCATATACTCCCCACAATACATTTTACCAGAACTATCTGGAACTATTGTAGTGAACACTACAAACTCTTTTCTCCATTATATCCCCTAACCAACATTCCCTATAATCCATCTTTTCCATAGAGTCTCACCTCACCATTTACAACCCTTTAGGAACAAAATGGATTTTTGCAGTTCATACATATTCTTGATTCCATAACCCTTCAAATGAGAACCTTTTAAACCATCACAGATAAACAAGCAGATCTGATAACTGATTATTTTACCTACTTACAAATCAGACGTTATATCTTGACCTCCGCACCCTACACCTTTTGAAAAATTATGCTTTTAGGGTCCTTCCTTAATACATACTCATAGTTTACTTGTGGTCTCTGAAACATTTGCTCACGACATCCTGAACTAATTCAAACCCAGCTTTGGATACACTCAGTTTGGTTACTATGTAGTGACCTAGAAGTTATTATAGTTTGTTAATTCAACTTCAACTTTACTGATATCTTCATCACTTGTCCATTACGAGGACACGCCTCTTTAAATCATTTAAAGAGGGGTGTCCATTACAAGGACACCCCTCTTTAAATGATTTCACTATTTAAAGACATTTTTGGTTAGTCTTGTACATATTTTGAAGTTTGAACCTTTTAATCAAGCTTGATAAGAAAAGCAAAATCAGCTAGAAGAGACAAGATTCCATTTTAGCGAGAATCAAATTTCCAGTATGAGTTGTATTTCAGTATTTCACATTTCCTCTCAAAGACCTGTCCGCGATACCAAACAACACGCAGACCTAGGAAATGTATAAAACTATAACATACCCATCCTCCCTGCTCTTGGATCCAGTTCTGCAAATGTCTGTTCAGGTAGTCAGTCATCCATCCAACAATGGAGTCTACCAGAGGAGACATCTCTCGATTGACACTTTCCACACACATAACTCCTCCAAATTCAAAGAAAGCCACAATACGGCCCCAGTTTATCCCATCATGAAAGAGCTCCTCCACCACAGCAGCAAAGCGAAGACGAACTGTGGATGGGGTAAGATGGAGAAGCCCTGATATATGTCTGAAGTCCTGCTGGTACATACTGGAAAACTCATCTCCAGCACGGCTCAGTGTCTGAAATAATTCTGGGGGAAGGGGTTGTAAGGGGATATAATCCTCATTATTATCATCTAGCGGTTGGTTGGCATCTTGAGGGGCATTCCAGTCCCTCTGGGAGACATCCACTTCTGCTCGAGGTAAAGGGACAGAGGAAGCAGCAGATGTGGTACTTCTATGAGCAGCAGGTGCATTGTCTAAGACTGGAGCATCACTTGGAGTTTCATTATCTGAAGAGGAAGCAGCAGGCAAATCTGAAGCAGGTGGATGTCCAGTTGGACCTCCTTGGGTAGCAGACACCTCTTCATCGTTAACAGAATTATTGTTAGCAGCAGCAGAAGCTTCTGAGAGTTCAGCAGTTAAGTGTCGTCCTTCTTCCCAGTCATAGCCCCTCTGCGACAGCTTATAATGGATGTATTTCACCACTATCTCCCGATGATCGTACCCTCCTCTCCTGGGATGAGCCATATTTTTAATTTCCAAGAATGGCTGGCAAAAAATTAGCGATCCAAAAAACAAAATCGTAATAGAAAAATAAAATAAGGTCGCACCCCAACCAGATCTCAAAGCAGCGTCCACAACTGTTACACTTTAGTTGCGTGAGCGGTGTTACTCTGATGCTTTTTCATTCTTCATCCTCTGCATCCCCCCTCCTCTTCCTTCCAGTGGAGTTCTGTAAATTTACAGTAAATTCCCCCGTAAAGGTGTTTTCATTATCATCAATCAAGGGACGTTCCCTTCTTCACACTGAAATACAAAATACATTCATTTTACGCCCATGCGGCTTTTCCTGGTGTGTCATGCCCAACTTTAATAATGCAAATACAAGTTGCAGAATCGGGAAAAAAACACGACTTACTAATTAACTGCAGTAATGCAGTAAAAGCGAATAGTGTGTGCGCAGGGGGGAAAAAAAAAAAAAAATCACATATATATCCGATGTCTCATTTGGTTACCCAGGCTAGGTGGCGTGTATACGGATTGAACTAGATATTTGAGCATGCATACAAAAATGATCAATTATGTAATATACTCACTTGCTTCCCCAAATACGGTTCGGCTGTTGGACTTCCCTGATCATCTGAATCCATGAAAGAACTTCCACCGATCGTGAGGTTACGTGAGCTGAAATCTTCAGGGGCCCCTGGATGCATCAGTAAAAGTGGCCAGTTGTCACATGAGCATCCCTGGGGAAAACAAATGCTTCTGGGGCCACCCAGGTGACCCTGCGGTCGATTGAAGAACCCAAATGCAATTTTTCCTCCTCGGATCCAAGCTCTTGCAGCAGTGTGTGCACTCCCACCAATTCAATGCCTTGCATAAGCCCACAACATATGCTGCACAGCCAGGGCAACAAGAGAAAAAAACAGCACAAAAATCCCTTTCAATGAATCCAGCACGGGCTGCAGCAAGAGCAGTGCAGTCATCTGGCATTCAGCAAGCACAGGGAATGTTTAGGTCTGAGTGTAATTCAGTTTCTTTTTATTATGCTTCCTTCCTTCATCTTGCCTCCCTACAGTACAGTGTGGAGGCGGGACACGGCTTACTATTCTATCCTGTGTGTATGCGTACAGCAGCCAGTCAGTCTGTGTGTGAGTGTGTGTATGTGTGTGTGTGCTGGGCGGACTAAATTGATTTCTTTCTCTTTCAAGTGCAATGCGCATGGCAGTAGAGCTCCCTCTATTGACGAAAGTCCAAACTGCAGTTTACCTCAAATACTACATGCAAATTGTTGTAGGTTCATTCAGATAATCTGACAGTAGTAGCTGCAAACTCAAAAATGACGACATTAGGGTTAGGCGCACGAAATACAATGAAATACCAGTCTTTGCAATTGTACATGTTAGGCTCCATGTACATTGTAGCTGATAAACTCACGTTTAGGAGCTTTTCTGCGATTTTTTTCAGCAGCCCCTGAACTCTCCCTAACGTTTTCCTATGCGTCCATGTACACATCGTCGTTTACAGTTGTTTTTTTGAATGCAAAAAACTTGCGTTCAGGAGTAGATTTTGTTTGCGGACTTAAAAAAAAAAAAAAAGTAGATTTTATCATCGCTTCTTGGCCTTTTGGCTAAGTTCAAGTGTAGTATCTGTTCTTATCAGTGTCCGGTGGGGGTGCTCCCGGCCATTTTAGCTTTGCGGGGATGGCTGTTGTATAGTACCCTCACTCGTATGATGGGGGTCTGGAAGGCGAGTACCGGAGGGACAGAAACCGGGGAGCGCCACGAGTTAAGCTGGGGCCCTGGGAGTAATTCCTCCAAGAAAACTGGAAAGACCCAGTACCTCCTGATTTGGACGGATCTACCTTGGTCTGGCCAGGGGCTGAGGAGGCAGAAAGTCCGTAAACACAGTGCCCCCTGAGTAGTCGCCTCAGGGGTGCTCTGAGTAGCACTTGGGTGTGGGACCCCACATTGTGAATGAGCACATGGTCACCGCGTTTAAAACACTTTTTGCACTGCGCCTCTAGGACCGGGCCTTTTGGCCAAGTCCTGGGCAATTTTTTTGCTACAGGCCTCAGGGCCTGGTCAGTGCACAATTTGGGCACGACCACTTTTTTATTATTTTTATAGATTTATTTATTTATTTATTTATTTTTGCACTCCCACGTTTGTCACTTTTACTTATGTGTGTGTTTTCTTCACATGATGGAGGGTGTGGGTCCTCGGGCCTGCCCTGAAGTCTAGGGGGAGGATGTGTGGCCTTTTGGTTCCTTCCTCCCCTGTCCCTAGGGGGTTTTCTCTTCGGGAGAACCCCCTGGCCTAGTACTGGATGTCCGGCTTCGGTTGGGCATAAGGAACGGTGGTCCACCAGGCCTTTTGGCCAGGAGGACCAAATGGGAACCTTGTCCCTGTCAGGAGCTTCGTGCCCCGGGGGATCAGGGTAGTGGTCCAACCCCTTCGGGGGTAGGACAAAGCACACCCCTAAGTGCACTTTTTGTGTGGTGTTTTTTGCACTTGCACTTTTTTGTGAAACACTTACGGGTTTTTTCGTTGTAGTTTGCACATTTGCGGACTTTAAAAAGAAAAAAAAAGTAGATTTCATCATTGACAGCACCTGGTGGGTGCTGTGTTGTTTTAAGGATGCTTTATGGTGCGCCAGGAAGCGCCTCATCCACCAGCGGGAGAGGATGTCCATTGAGGACTGCCGCAGACTGATCCTCAGTCTGCTCAGGGACTATACCTTGATGGACTTTAAGAAGGAAGAGGACGTTTGAAGATCTCCCCTTCCCCCTACTCCCCCTTGCGTGTCTTTGCCCCTTCAATAAAGCTTCGGGCCTGTGACCCCTTTTCTCCTCCCCCCCCCCCCACACACCCGATGCTTATTGTAAACTGTACTAATCATAACTTGCATGATTTTGTGATTATAGGAAATTTTTTTTAAGCATGCTACGGTCTCGGGGTAAGCGGCGTTATGCATGACGTGATGGTCTGGGGATTCGTCTGTCACGCACATCATGTCAGGCATCATACCGCTGAGTGAATGTATTTATTGAATGTATTTATTGTATGCCTGGAACTATATTGCAATGTGGTGCGCTGCGTCGCAGTATAGGGTGAGATGTACCCCGATTACGAATATTGTGGTTTTTTTTATACTTCTGTAAATAAAGTAGATTTTATCATTATTTATTTTTTCTCTCACGTTTGTTTCACTTTTCACTTATGTGTGTGCTTTCTTCTCACGGATGGCAGGGTGCGGGCCCTCGGGTCTACCCTGAAGTCTAGGGGGAGGGTGTGTGGCCTTTTGGTTCCTTCCTCCCCTGTCCCTGGGGGGTCTCTCTTCAGGAGAGCCCCCTGACCAAGTACTTGGTGGCTGGCTTCAGCTAGCCACAAGGAAAGGGGTCCGCCAGGCCTTTTGGCTAGGTGGACCATGTGGAAACCTTAGTCCCTGTCAGGAGCCTCGCGCCCCAGGGGGATCAGGGTAGAGATCCTACCCCTTCGAAGGGTGGACAAAAACACACCCCTCAGTGTCCAGTGGGGGTATTCCGCCATCATTCTTGCTTAGCGAGGATGTTTGGCTGTATAGCACACCCGTGCTGGAAGGATGGGGGCTCTGATGGTTACTACCAACTGGAACAGAAACTGAGGTGCCCACAGGCAGTTGGGGCCCGGGAGTAATTCCCCCGGGAAAGCCAGAGGGGCCCAGTTCCTCCTGGTTTGAACGGATCTACCTTGTCTGGCCAGGGGTCGGGGAGGCAGAGAGTCCGCGGAACAGTGCCCCCTGATTGGTCGCCTGGGGATGGGGACGGGATCCCAAGTGTGAAACGTGCACATGGTCACTGCTCCAAAACACTTTATCTGCACTGCGCCTTTTAGGGCTAGGCCTTTTGGCTAAGTCTAGGGCAATTTTTATGCTACAGGCCTCAGGGCCTAGCCAGTGCACAATTACACGGCCACTTTTTTATTTTTTACTTACTTATTTATTTAATTTATTTTTTCTCCCACGTTTGTTTCATTTTTCACTTATGTGTGTGTTTTTTTCTCACGGATCGTAGGGTGTGGGTCCTCGGGTCTACCCTGAAGTCTGGGGGGAGGATGTGTGGCCTTTTGGTTCCTTCCTCCCCTGCCCCTGGGGGGTCTCTCTTTGGGAGAGCCCCCTTACCAAGTACTTCGGCTAGCCACAAGGAAAGGGGTCCGCCAGGCCTTATGGCTAGGCGGACCATGTGGAAACCTTAGTCCCTGTCAGGAGCCTCATGTAATGGGGGATCATGGTAGAGGTCCTGCCCCTTTGGGGGGGGGCAAAGCACACCCCTAAGTGCACTTTTTTGTGTTGGTTTTGCACTAGCACATTTTTTGTTCACTTACGGGTTTTTCGTACTTCCGCGGACTTAAAAAAAGTAGATTTTTATCAGCGCTTCAAACGCCAAACGCTTGTACACACGTGCAAACGGGGCTAACTGCGTTTATAAGTGTTTGGAAATTTTTTTTAACTCTTCCATTTCCAGATGCTGTCAAGAGCCTTTTTTTCATCATGAAGAATGCATCCAAAGCGTTTTCCTGGTACTCAAATGGACCTGGTACACCATACTTTGAGGTTTTGCATGAGAGAAAATTTTGCATGAGAGAAAAGGCTTACCTATAGGTACTGTTTAGGAGACATTTATACAGCATGCAGCCAGTGATGTCACCAGCGCAAATGTTTTGAAAGGAACAACACAGCGTGCCAGACCTTCAGAGCTGTGTGCTGCAGCCAAGGGCGCAGGAGTGACGTCATCGCGGCACTGGCCATTCATACTGCCGGAGCCCACGAACCAAGAAAGAAGACCGGGTGAAGATGGCGGTGCTGGGGAGCCATGACAGCACGGCGCTGGAGGACTCTGTGTACAGGTAAGTCTGTCATCTATCATAATGTACTAGTATGTGGACATACTAGTACATTATGATCTAAACCTGCCCATTATTTTGTTTTTTCCAGGTGGTTTGCTACCATTTTAAATATTGGAGGTGTATGAATTATGTTTGGAGAAT